GTTTCCGATTGTAAAAGTTGAGAGGGAGTAAATCACAAGGAAGAAAATTATGCATCTCTTTCCGGAGGAGTCACCAGTGGATTTGAACAACCAGAGAGGTTCCACCTTCAGGTTAGTAGACCAGCTCCCTACCAACATTTTCTGGTGCACAATCCTTGTCGATTTTAAGGCCTTTCTCAGTGGGAGTAGGAAAAAAATTGGCCAATTTCATCATTTGCATAATCTGTTGACAAATTCCCTGTAAAGAGTGATTAGAAGGTAGGCTGTAGTCTATAGCAGGAAAAAACAAACAAACAAAAGCAAAACATTCCAAAGGACAAGATGTGTTACTTAATAAGGGCCACGGGAAAAATAAAGATGGCAATGTAGAGTCTGGAGAAAAACTAGAAACCAAGCGGCATCACTAGAAGAGGACAGCAGCAACTTCCATCCCACAGGGTAGACCCATTCTTTTCTTCTGAGTATCTCTCTTTCTTACTAAACTTTCCTCTGTATTTAACTAACTTTCTGCCTGTGTTATATGTTCTTCCTCTGCTCTCTTAACATTCATTTTGGGAAGAAAATTTTCTAGCTTTCACCTGACTAATGAACCACATCTGTGAACTTCCTGGTACCCTGGTACTACTGAAACAGAAATACCACAAGTGGATGTCATTAGCAAACAAGTTTTATTATTTAGGAGATTCAGCTCAGCTCAACTCATTGCTATTGAGTTGAAGCCAATTCATAACTGAACTTTCATTGGGTTTCCAAGGCAGAAATCACACAGGAAGATATTTCCCATCTTTCTCCCAAGGAGCCATGGTGAATTTGAGCTACCAGAGAGACACTGCCTTTGGGTTTGCAGAGCTTCCTTTTAGGAGGTGGTTGTTATGTTCCAATGAATTTGAACCCACCTATACCTGACCTTCCAGCAGACATTCAGAGGCAGTAAATGACAAGGGAGGAGATTGTTCAACTTCCAGAGTAGATGATAGATTTGAACCAAGTGCCTTTGGGTTGGCAGCACAACTACTTACCACTAAGCCATCAGAGCTCCCTTCTGGCTTAGGAGGTGGTGGTTGTTGTGTGTACCTTAGAGTTGGAACTGACCTATACCTGAACCCCTAGGGAGTTTTCAGAAACAGTTAGTTAATCACATGATTCAAACCATATCTTCAGCATTTCTTAGCTGAAGGAACCAAAGAAAAAGAATTCAAGCCTTGAGTTACAATACTTAAGGGTGCTATGGGCAGAATATTGAATGATCCAGGAAACACTGAAAGATGAAATTATCTATTTCTACAAAAGTGGTCTTGTACAGTATTTATCCTTGTGGGACTAAGTTCACTTAGCAGAATACTCTTCAGTCCCTCCCAAGTTAGGTAGTGATTTACAAAATCATTGGTCCTGCATGCTGCATAGTATTCCAGCATGTGAATATACCATAATTTCTCAATCCATTTGGTTGTGGTAGGACATTTGGGTTGTTTCCATGTTCTTGCGATGGTGAATAATGCTACTGAGAACACTGGTATACAAGAAATAGATAACTAGTAAAAGCTGTATGAAGATCTAAGGCAGGGGAGCAGAGGGGTAAGGATGGGTGCGGAAGGGGGTAACCAAGGGGTCACATGGTTTGATGGGTGGAAGGTAGGTGAGATGGGGAGGTGGAGGGATGGGGAGTGTGAGAAGCAATGTATGAAAACTTTGCAGGTAAACCAGTGTAAAATTTAAAAAAAAAGAAACACAGAAAGAAAATAAGAATTAAATATAACAGAGAAAAAAAGAATATATATAAATAAAAACATTTGAAGGGGAAAA